ACAATCCTAATGTTTTTGAAATGAAACCTAATTAAGGTAAGACTCATTCTGAAAAGATGACCTTCATTAGTGGATATGCTATACATCGTAGACGTCGTATGGTTCATTGTATGTAGCTTCAGTGTTGAAGACGCATGGTTCTTGTGATCCACGGATGTTTATAAAAAGTGCTTTGTGACTAACTATATGAGCTTGTGAAACAAAGCAATTAATGAAATAGAATGATTTATATAATTGTATTTTCACTCATTCGCGGCGTCAGCCGTCCGCTACGTTGAAACGACACAAGCCAATCGTCACATAGAAAGCATGTACTCTTATCAGGCGTCGGTGCAACCTGGCATATATTTTGTCTGACTAACTATTGTCCTAGCTTTCTGGTAGGCCTGCTAAGTAAAAATGGATACAGAAACGATATTCTAGGTGCGGCAAAGGTAGACATATAGTGAAGAAAAGGGCTGAAGTTTACCATTAGGGGAACGTTAAAGCTATGATTGCGGACAAGTAGAGCCAGAATTGAAGCAGCATCTACATCAACAGGAAGTTTACTTTATCCTGTATGTATGCAGCGACTCTTCTGGCAGCTGCGGTCTATTTTTTTAAAGGGCTTACCTTTAAGAGGGTGACAGGATCATGCGAAGCTTTACGAGGCTGGGTGAATATAATTGTTAGATGTAATTGTACTAATTTGTGCATCATTTCAGTAGTCCTTCATCGGAAGCAGGATGTGAAGTCGGATATTTACATTGTAGTAGACACATACATTGTCAATGATAGTGTTTTCTTTCTAATCAGCGAACGATCTTGTACCGTTATAGCAGAAAATATATCTACTACTCTGTCTGCATGGATAAAACACGCGACTAACAAATTTGCACGTTGGCCACACATGAATATAAGGTAATGATAACCGTCATTGAAGATTTTTCTATTGTTGCGTTCTTAAATACGTTCTTTACATAGGTTTGCCTTGCTATAATTTGTCGTGCCGTTGAAACCGTTCATTAATATGGCGTGGCATATTAACGTCAATGCAAATTACTTGTCATGCAGTTAATTGTTCTTCCGTTATAGTGGTGATGCTGTTTATTCTGCATGCGTCGTGTTTTATCGACCTCTCTAACCGCTTCTTGCAGCTCAGACTTTCTCTCTGACTCGTCCGGTACGAGCACGAAACTTCAATATCCAGGGTCGACAAACAAACAAACAGACAAACAAACAAACAAACAATAACAACAGCAAAGCGAACAGCGTCATCGTCTGCTAGCCTGGCGGCCTACCGAGGTCCGGCGACTGTCCGCGGCATAACCAACTTGCCCTTTGAGCTTTCTGGTCGGGATAGGGCAGCTGTCCGTCTTCGCTCTACACGATGTCTAATAATATTCATTTGAACGCACAACTCTTTATAACCCTAAATGTTTCCACATGGCCGGCGTATCACGTTGACGGAGAGAAATCCAGGGCTTGGCCTTACTCTGCAGCGACGGCGGCAACCGAATAGCTTGTTTCGAAGCTGCCGGTTTGTTGGCCCTGCCTCTATTCTACAGCGTTTACCAATAACTTTGAGGCGAGCACCAGTGGAAGATAGATAGAAACGGCCTAGAAGCGACATTTCCTACGTCTGCAGGACCAGCAGGGAGTGCTGTTACGAGCCATGTGCCTCACGTTACGAGCTGCTGGCATGTAGTAAAGATCTGCGTCGTGCATTGTCTGTCCGTTTCTAGCTAATTAGCTAAATATACCCGGCTACACCCGACTAGCTAAGAAGTTGACAAATGCGCAACAGTACGCACTCGAATAATACAAAGGGACGCCAACTCAACATTTGAAAAAGTATCAACCGTTCAACAGAACATTTACTGATATGTGTTGTATTGATGATGGGACTGGGCAAGCCGGCAATAACGGTCATCACGCAGACGCAGTTGACGTTCGTCGTTGATCGGTAATAATAATTGCAAGCGTCTTGGCTAGCCTTTAAAGCGAAAAAAATCCTTCAGTTTCTACATATCGACACGTCGATCAGTTGGTCGTTCTATGAAGAATTAGAAAACCGTATGGTACCTGTGGTTTTCTTCTTTTTTTGGGAAGAGGAGTCGCTTGACCCCAGCAATGAACCTTGACGAGACCTCTTCGCGATGATTGTGCCTCTCCGATCCACCACATCCTGCTACCCGATCGAGCATTTTTGTCTAACAAATAATTGGGCTTCTCTATAACGTAGTAAAAAAGAGTCAACAAAGTTTTGGGAAAGTTTACTCAGTTAATGACCAAATGGTTCATTTAGTAAGAGCGGGGAGAAGGGAAAAGGTGCAGCTTTTTACCCACCAAGCAGCATAACAGGCCATATGTAGCGGAAATATAGTAGAAGAAACTGTGGCAGAAGCAGCATTTTTCTCTTAGATAAGCAGCCAATGATGTCGGTTTTGCATTACTATAGCTCCGGATAGCATATCACTTCTTCTTTGCAAACTATCTTCATCGGATTAAATAATCCCTTCATGAAATTTGTCTCTCACAGACTAATGATTGGTTAGCGTCACCTTAGGCCTCATACAGTTGCTCAGACAATACGTCAACATGTAGATTCAACAACACGTACTTTTCAAGTTTTCACATTAGTGCGACATCTGCTTTTATTTTAACGTAGTGTGCCCTTATTTTTTTTTTTATAATAATCGAATTTCACATAATACCTTAGCTAAAGTCATACTTTTTGGTAAGGCTTTTACGATGAACTGCAACTTATCCGAGTCGCCTTGTATCAGTGTAGACATCTGCTCGCACCGGCATTTGTTGCGAATCCGAATACCGCTCGATGTAAGCCATGTAGCATTGTCGCGCATGGAAGATCCACATACAGTTTAACAGTGCAGATTCACATCGAAGCAAGCAACCGAGCAATGGTAAATTACGAAGCCGCGGTAGAATCTTCTACTGCGCCGTCGAAATTTACCACTGTTCGACTATAATATTGAATATCCTGGGATCTCATCAAGAAATGACAGCGCCATCACTGTGTTGATGAATATCTACATCGCGTTGTCTAACGATGCGAATGTGCCTTATTCTACATGAGACAATCAGCGGTAACGATTTTTTCCACTCGCACATGGCTATAATAGGCGGTCTTGTGATGGGTTAAGCAAAATATCCCAGACGCACGGGGCGGCCCGAAAGTGACGTGGATGTTAATCGAGACATAGCAGATACATGAAAAGAACGGCGTGTTCGGATGTCGAAGTGAATGAACCCGTATCAGCCAGACTATTGGTAGAGTTTTTCTAAACGCCCTAAAGATGTCCTCGCCAGTAAACATCTCCTGTGCCTGAGAGTGCGACTCTTCGAACGACACATCGCCATACTTGTACCGGACGGAACTACCGGCAACTTTCTCACTGTTGGCGATCTCGTACATGTATGAAGCCGCGTAGCTCAGCTAGTCACCCATTCAGGCTTCATCGAACAGTCATCGACCGAGAGAACGCGGCGTTCGATGACGCTTCTGCCGATCCCTCGTCCCGCCAAGATACAAAGCGCTTCGAACTCGGGAGGTGCTGCAGACTTAGTTCAATGAGCGTCGAGATATTTCTGTGGCTAAACGCTACGGTCGGATATGTGCCGCCTCTTCGCCGTTTATCGGACGGTTACTGCTGCTGCTGTTGCTTTTTGCTTGCGTCACCCGCTCCCAGACCCCTCGTCAAAGCCCAGACGATGCCAACGAGCAATTACTCCCTCCGAATAACCAGGTATCGCTCACTCCGCTGTGATCAGCCCTGCTGAATGTTCTGTTGCTGCCGCCGCCGCCACTGAATGTAGTTGTGTATTGTGCACTTGGCTAACGCTGAACAACAACAACAACCATAGAAAAAAGCGTCAAGAAAATCTCTGTAAATGTAATGCTATTCCCCTGTGCTGTTGCGCCCCCTGTTAAAAAAATAATTAATCGTTACTAACACTATAATCGAATAGCATACATAGCTATAGTGCACATTGTGTGTATGCTTTTTTTTATGGATGCATTGAGTTAATTGTCTAATAACAAATCTTTAACCCAACAAAAGGCCCAAGTGAAACTTAACCTTGTTAATGGTAGTTTCAGCGCGTACCTCAATAAACATTAACTGTTTACGTATGATTGAACTACGGTGAAACTAAATAACATAAAACATCAGGCCATATACAGAAACGAACCGCTTCAGGCCCTTTGCGGCGCCCACTACACGGTGGGTTATCATCATTCAAATCAAATGAAACCTTGGCCGACCAGTAGAAAATGTATAGTAGTACACCACTGTCCCACATCTTTGTCTACTATCTATATCAATGAGTATACGTCTATCGCCTACACGTTTACGTCGTGATCTCTAACAGTTCATGCTCTATATTAGCGTAGACTAACTATGCTGTGCCGCAGTTATTCGTAAAGAACCTATATATGTTTATAAATAACGGTGCCCGCTCATTATTGGGCATGAACAGTGGGTTATAGAACATCGGTTTTGACGGGTATAATTATTTGTCATTAACAGTAGCTATTCCCATTGATTCATGGGAGATTGGTTGACGGTGAAATAAATAGATCAATGCTGCTTGCTCATAAACTATGGGTATTGTGCACCCTCGAGAGCCATGGCTTCCCTGGTAATCGCGTAACATCTTAATAAAAGCACATATTCTATTAATATATATCTGCTGTAAAGACTGACTTGAGGAAGTCGTGGAGCTCCAGATACCAAAAATAACGTTACCAAGGAGAAAAATTGCCTTCCTCATAGCGACCTCTTTGTGTCTCTTCATTGTTATTGCTCTGTGTCTTTTTTCGACATTCGATTTTCTTTTGCCTCCGTGCTCCCATATTTAAATCGTCGGGTGTGTATCCGGATATGTCCGATTACCTCGCGAATTCTGTGTTACGCGTCGTCATGCTGGTGCCGTCCTTGCCGAAAACGTCGTCTGCTACTTCTGCTATTGATTATCGCAAAATCCACCTCGCGCAGGTGGTGGCCATCTTTTCCATTTGCTTCATCATCCTATCGACAATCGGGCTCACCCTCAACACAGTGAAGTCCCTGCAACATCGTAATGAGCAGGGCGATGTAATTGGCGAAAATGAGACGCTCGCCATGATCGAGGTGGTCTGCATCACGTGGTTCACGCTCGAATACATCCTGCGTTTTCTAAGCTCGCCCAATAAATGGAAATTTTTCAAAGGCATGCTAAACGTAATTGACCTGCTGGCCATCCTACCATACTTCATTTCGCAGTTCATACCCGAAGACCAAGACAGTAAGGAGCCTCATGACCAACAAAAGCATAGCGCACACTTTCAAGACGTGCGGCGGGTCGTGCAGGTATTCCGTATAATGCGAATTCTTCGTATTCTCAAGCTAGCGCGACACTCGACCGGCTTACAGTCGCTCGGATTCACGTTGCGCAACAGCTACAAAGAGTTAGGACTACTCATGCTGTTTTTAGCAATTGGCGTTATGATCTTCTCATCGTTAGCGTACTTTGCCGAAAAGGACGAGACAGGTACAAAGTTCACGAGCATCCCAGAAGCATTCTGGTGGGCTGGCATTACTATGACAACAGTTGGCTATGGTGACATTTGCCCAACGACGTTATTAGGCAAAATCGTCGGCAGCGTCTGCTGCATTTGCGGGGTGCTCGTCATTGCCCTGCCCATTCCCATCATCGTCAACAACTTTGCCGAGTTCTACAAGAACCAGATGCGCCGCGAAAAGGCGCTTAAACGCAAGGAGGCGCTGGAGCGCGCCAGGCGGGAAGGAAGTATCGTCTCTTTCCATCACGTCAATCTTCGCGATGCGTTCGCCAAGAGTATGGATCTCGTCGACGTACTAGTCGACACTTCGGGTCACACGATTAATCAGGTGAGTGCCGTTTGTTGTGATGACGATTTGGGACTTGCTTACGTATTCTCGTAGGAGATTAAGTCCCGTGGAAAAGTTTGCGTAACAATTGCTGACCTAGAAAGAAACGCTTTTAAAAGTGAGTGGCAGTGTTGAGGGAGGAAGGACGTTGAATGTATTAAAAACGAAAAGCTATAAAGACCTGAGCGTAACCCTTGTTTATTACGGTTTAGGGCATTTTGCTTCTTAATCATCAAAATACGGACTGTGACTTCCCATCTTCGGAATACCGTGAAAAGCATTTTCATACACCTAGGGCGACTTGTGGTGTCTAAGATCGGAACTGACCTAGTGCTAGGACTAGTGCTACTATTGATATTAAAACTAACAGAATATGTCTCCTTCTTTTAAAGTTTTCGTAAACTTTAAAAAAAAATTACCAACATTATTATCTATTTGGTTGGTTATATATACAGTACTAATGAGTATGTCGATGCTTCTCATCATTTCGCGTTGTATTCACACAACAAAGGAATTAATACATTCGCACCTTTTATATAGCACTATGCCTGAACGCTACATAAATTACATTATATGAAGTGGTATGGAAGCCCCAGATAGTCGATCGCATACAACCCAGCTGTTCCCTTGGTTGTCTGGGGGAGTGTCATGGCCCTAAGACCAGTGGACATAAACTGAACGGGTGCCCGATCATTTGTTTCACCTGCTCCATCGTAAGGGTGGCTCATAATCTGTCATTTGGATATTTGGAAGAACTAACCTAACGCTAGACTTAGCCCTTTGTGCACTCACTTGGCGCTGAGTCACCCCGTGTGGTTATTGTGTGACGTTCTTATGGCAATTTCTGACAGAACATGGATGCCACCGTTATCCATAAACGCCAACAAATAACAAAAGAGGAGGATGTCCTTGCGAGGAAGGGGTTGCGTGCTGCTAAGCTCCATCAAACACGAGTCACTCCACGCGCTGGCAAACTCACAGGTATCTGGCAGGCAAGGTTGGCGGATATGGGGATCCTCTTAGTGGGCTCTTTTCATAACGACGATGTAGCATACCCTGGCCGGTTTTTGGTGATGACCCAGTCGATGTTGTCTGCTTATATAAGGTAAGATAAGGTCAGAGAAGGAAGGCTTGGAAAGCAGGAGCTACAAGTGAGTTGTCTGGGTCTAGCCAGTACAAGGAGATGTGGATGGAAATAAGGACGGCCTGGGTGACAATGATTTTGATTTATGGCGCCCATTCAGCGACTTGCCTCTAGTCTTTGAAAGGAAATATCATATACGGCAGCCCACAGAGTGGCAAATTGCAGACGACAGAAGCGCCATCACAGTTTTCTCAACAGGATGCAGGGACGATGACTTGTAATTTTGAGAACACTTATTTTCGTACACGTCGAAGGCTATAGACACACAAACGTACAATTGTATTAATATCCTCCTCCTTATTCGTTTGTCAACAATTTGATCTATTTGTTTGAATTTACTGGTTTACATTTTTTTCTTTCTCAAAGATTGTTTATCTTTGGGTGCTGCAGCTAGATGACGTACGCCAGCAAAAGCCAAGAATTTTTGTTTATTAGGACGGAAGAATCAGAAGTGTCATGTTTGGTGTTTCCAAGACCAAATCTGACCATTCTGTTGCCCTACTGATTATTATTAAGTATTTACTGTTAACAACCACGGAAAAATGGGTTAGAATCGACAACAGCGTAGAGCTTAATTCATTAGTACTGTCAAATCTGACGCAGTATAAATGCTTAGAATTGAACTCACCTGTTACAGATACGTTAATAGTCGTAATAATATATACAAACCCGAGACTGTACCTAAATTCTAAATGTAATTATCGATATGCCTTTCTCTGTTCAAGCTCTGCCTAGAAATTATTCGCATTTAAAGCGTCCCTTGTGTTCTTTGAATTCTTCAAGCGTCTCGTTTTGTCAATCAGTGTTATAATAAGATCGTGCTAAATTTGTTGCCCTCTCGGCATATTTTTTTGCCGAGCATGGTCTTCTATCTACGCTTAGCCAAAACTGTTAACATAAATACATATTTATATGAAAAATTAAGCGGACTATTTGTTTACATAATTCTCCTTCTGTGCGTTAATGGCTACTTCGTTTGTCTTTATCCACGCCTCCTTGGCTGTTTGACCCGCTATAGACGTGTCCCCGTGATAGCGCAAAGACACGTGGTGGTCTAGACTCGAATCGCAGTGTAGACACATTTTGTGTCGTACTGGAACAAGCGTAGTCGTCTGAAGTAATGCCGAACGGCTTAAGTACCGGACATTACACTAACGTTTTGAATTTTCTTTATTCGGTTGCATTTTCCTGCTATCTCACACCGCGATCGGTTACGTCGCGACATCGACTGGCGCAGGCTGATACTGCATCAATTGACGCAGACTCGAACGGTCGCGGAGGTAACACGGACGCAGGCTGTTACCGAAATTTTGAACACCACCTTACCGGGGGCGTTAACAATACCGCTCAGCAAAACAACAATAACAATACGAGTAACCGCGACACTGGGGGTATCGGCGCCAACCTGGGCAACAATGCTTCCAACATAAGTAACAACAACAACAACAACAATAGTAGTCACAACGCGAACAGCGTGAATGCAGCTAGTGAAGTTCAAACAATGTTCAGAAGCGACAACGCGACGATAGGCGTTAGCGGACATTCGTCTGGAGGTGCGCCACCTGTAGGAAGCGCTGGTGGTCCAGGTAGTCGCCTAGCGGAACGGGCTACCAGTGTCTCGGCGGGTAAGAGCATTTTAGGTAGGTTTACCTGAAATCTCATACCACACATTGGCTCCAGGTGATTCTATTACTTGTACTAACTGCCCACTGCCAATTGCTGTTTCTAGATAATTTCAATACTGCTGTTGATAATACAAGCTAACAAAAAAAATCTCTTAACCAAAGTTGCCTGACAGTTTAAGGGTCTTTATTTTATACCTGTACGATATATGTACATGTAGTACGTATATATATATATATATATACGTATATATATACTTTTGTTTTTGTTGTTGTATCCATTAGGGAGCGTTCAGCTATTAGCGCTTTGTACATTCAAATAGCTTATGGTGAGGTCCTTTAATCCTCAGTACTGAAGACATGATAATCTTGTTCAGTTGTATTGAGTTATTTGTCGACCGCTTGTTTCAGCTTTGATTTTGCCTAACCTTTTTCTATCGTTGTCATCAAGACATTGTTCCTACTCTCAACTTGAATGAGGTATACCTACGTATACCCCCTACGCTATCGCCCGCCGGCTTTTTCTCCTGCATCGTAATCATTCTCGACGGTGGCACAGCGTTTTTTGTAATACCTTTCACCCGATATTTAGCGTCGCGGTTAAACGTCTTTGGCTATACTAAATTGTACGATAATAGTGATAATAGACCCGTTAGATCTTCTATGTTTGAGATGGTAAGTTTTTTTCCTAAGTAAAGCATTAAATTAAGATTAAAATGGCGCTGTTAGACGTCGATGGAAAAAAAAGAAAGAAAATTTAACCAGAACTAAACGCAAATAACTACTTTAGTATAAAATATATTAGTTTATGGCGCATGCTGCTAAAAAGATGTTCCCATTGAGAAGTATATCTTATTATATTTATCAAACCTTAACTTTTCTAGTTCATAGCACTGATGTTTAGCACAACCATAACATGTCCCCGTCGAAATCGGCTTTGCCACAGTTAAACCCTTGTACGGAAAAAAAACGTATACAGCATATACATTTTTTTTGCATAATCTTGATTTGCTTTCGCTCAGTGATACCCCTCTGCATTCAACAAAAGGATAGCGCGAACGTTTTCTTGGCTATACATATTTGTGTAGAGCTAAATGAAAAAAAACCGATTGCAAACTCTCCAAATAGTGTAGATCTAGTTGTCGATGCAGCAGATATCGACAATGGCTGGACATTTTTATGCCTATCGAACCTTTTCAATTAAAGATTGCGACCTAGCCCATAATAATAAAACATGGAGATTTACAGTCCAATCTAACTCGTTGACTAACCTACAACTTTATTATATATACACTACAAATTTACGCTTGCATACAAGTACCGCCTGAACCACAGACATGCCAAATTTATGAGAATTCTTGAAAAGTTCCGGAGAAAGTTTCGAAGATATAGTAGTCAACTTACTTAACCTTACCGAGAAAGCAGATGCCCAAAATCCTATTAGATTTAATCCTATTAGATGTTAGGTCGCGCGACAAATTTGAAATTTCGAAGCGGTCCACATGTTTGCACCATAAAAAAGCTAGTTGTAGAAGTGTTTAATGATTCTTTGTTTTTGATAAGATATTCGATTCGAGTGTACATTTTAGTTAAGGCGCACAAAGATGGAGATGTCAAAACCGTACGTAATGCCGCTTCGGAAGTTTTGTTTTTGAATTAGCTAAATGGAATAGCTAAAAAAAAAACCAGTGAGAAAATTTGTGGGGTACATGGATCCAACACTATAAGCGATCGTACGATCAGAAAATGATTTACTAGTTTTTTTGAATAGAGGCTTCGCTATCGGAGACAAAGCACGTTTTGGTCGGCTACAACAACGCTGAAATTCTTACTGTGGTCGAGCGGAACTTGCATATCAGCCTCTATAAAATTGCAGAACACACAGAAGCCTCCAAATCGTCTGTTCGAAGGACATCTAGCAAGCAAGCAAGCAAGCAATAATTCCGTTAATCGAACAGACATCCATGGGTTGATCGACCGCCAACTGATGAACTATGTTTTCATGATCGATAATCCTCTAAAATACAACAAGGACAACCCTTTGCTTGCAAGATGGCGATCAGCGATGAAATGGCAATAACGTCACTTGGAGGAAGTTACCAGCAGCAAAGCGCAGTACTGCTTTTCGAACTAGAGCTAAAATCGCACCCTATCCAAAGTAAAATAAGGCTCTGTATTTGGTGGGATTGTCAGGGATTGCTTTTCTATAGACTTCTCTTAGACAACCTAAGCGTTAACTCAGTTGACAGTGTACTGTTATTGGCTCGATCGGTTAAAGCGATGTACCTAAAAAAAGGACCCAACTATGGCGAAGAGGAAGGAGTTACGTCCTGTCATCTCTCAATCTCAGACATCGCATTCATGACCCGCCGAAAATAGTACAAATAAAAATGGAATGTTTCGCCTTACCCACCTTCTAATCCTGAGCTATTTTCTTATTATTATCTCTTCCTTTCCTTGCAGGACTCTTTATTAAATAGGAGAACATTTGTATTTTGTAAGCTTGTGTTTGAGCTGAGGCACCCTGTATTGCCTCCGTGCGTCCAATATGCACAAATGTTGTGTGAGCTGAGAAACCGCATCGCTCGATCTCACCGTTGGTAGCCAATGTCCATTCGTTGTGTCCATTCAAGCACTAGTCGAATATCGACCCTTTATTGTACGACATTTCTATCTACCACACTGAGACCATGTCGTACATTGCAAAATGGGCGAGTTTCCCTGTACAACTTTTTACACCATTATGGCATAGGAGTACCCGCTCGCTCGGGTTGAGCACAATAGCCGCCTCGGCCAAGAAAATAAGTCGTCCCTACACCGCCTGGATGCCATTGCCATCGAGGCTCTCGTATTCTTTTTCTAAACAACTTGCCACATATGCCAAGCCAGCGTGCCTTTGTGTCCGCGTACGGCTTCCGATGGCGATCTGGACGCGCTCGTGATTGTTTGGCAGATACTGCATGGCCACGTAGAGACCAGTGAAAGCTGCCGAGTGCAATTTCGCAAATTCAGCGACGAGCTCATGAGAGGTAGTTATGGCTTTGCGCACGTATACGGGTCATGGACACGTAAAGCCTGCAGATAGAGCATGAACCTGTAAAACAGAGCTTGTCGACTTCCCGGGGCGATTACGGAGAGCATACACCGTCACTACAGATAGAAGGCGACAGTGGCGAAAATACAGATAGTCATAGATACAGAAAGAGAAATTAAGCGCAGCTGGGTGGGGAAACTGTTTAGGTGCTGGAGACATAACGACAAAGGATGAACATCGGGGAAACTTCATTGACGTGCGTGTCCGATGGTGGGGCCAGCTCTGCTGCAGCATTTGACTATGGACTATTACAACGCGGCCGTTGAGGTCATGCGAAACATTCCTTCATTTATCGCCCACAGTTTTTTAGACCACATTCATTGCCCCCGATACACGGTCGCCTCCATCTAGTTTCTCCCACTCTTCACCGTTTCTGGACGCATTTCATAAGTGTCGTTAACCTCTTAGCTTGACTTTCGGCACACGAAGGAGTAGCTGCACACCTTTTAGTGTCCACAAAACCTACATTTCTCATGAAGTTGCTTGCCAGTATTGTTAGATGCGTAGCTAATTTTCTGAATGTTTATTTACTGACGCGAAAAGTGGCTTGCGGAATAAACTATACGTAAAGATACTGTGACTAAATACCTGAACATACATTTGGCATTGGAATTGAAGATCATTATGAAGCCACACGCTATATGTGATTAAAGCGCAAAAAAATTATGATTTTCGCTTCACCTCTGACCGCTTTTATCCCATCCTTTGCGTATCTGCTGCATGCTCGACTACTTCAGTCCTAATTTCATCCGGAACGCTAAGGCACCGAGTGTTTAATACGGAATATCCAGAGAACGTTGTTTTCCTAATCTAGTCGTCCTACGTGGGTAAAAAAATAGTTTAGTAAATTGTAGTGAAGTGATAATTCGATATTGTTATTAGAGATATGACTAGAAACGTCTCGTAATGGCAAATGCGGCACCCTTCACCATGGTATAGTTAACCATTGTAATAATGAGAATAATAACGTTATTGAGAGATTCGCTGACAATTTGAGCAACCTAGCAAAGTTAGTTTTTATTAGAACCCAGACGGGAGGTCATCAAACTTAAAATACCCCTACCATGACACCTTTTCCTGTGTGTCAGCCATGTCCAGTAATCGACCTACAACAGATGTGTTTAAAGGAATTGAATTACTCATGCTTTACATATAGAATAATTTAAATACTATTTTATATAACTATGCCATCGGAATCGCAATTGCAAGGTCCTGGATCTCTAGCTGAAACATAAAAAGCAAAGAAGTTCATAAATATAATGACATTCATTAAGGGTAGCATAATTGAAGACGGTTTCCAGTCTATCAGCAACAAAATTTGCAACTCCGTAATTATCAGCTATTAATTTACCGTGATATTTAAATTTCCAAAAAAAAAAAGCTAAAAGTTTACTTACGCTTACAGTAGGATTAGATCCATCTGATGCTTCCACAGCCTAGACAGATTTATGACCACCTAATATAACCTTATCATGCACATATCTAAATGTTATACGAATACGAACGTTATTTTCTTCGGATAGACGGAATACATTAAAGCGTTTCCGTGACCTTTTTTGCAGACGGAGAAGATCCAACAATAGAATTCATTGACGTCATTCAACAACATAGCAAGGTACGTGTTTAGCGAGACTGTGTTAACTTTCAAAACAGGTATGCTCGTATTCGCGCAAAAAAATATTTTCAATTATACCTTTCCGAAAGTATTCGAAAAAAAAAGGTAGGCTCCGGTGTTTACCAACGAGCCTTATATATGAGTCCTGTTCACCGAAAGGTACTGCGTAAATGCGTCTGTGTGATAACGCTTACGAAATTGTCGCGCAGGAGAACCTGGTAGGTTATTTTATTCTCTGATTATTATCATTATTAAACGATTTTTGTCGACCTTTGTTTAACACCGCAATGAAGGAGTTCAGTAATTTTGAACGCTTTCCCCTCAGCTATAATGTTCTGTAGCTTGAAGCCGTCGTTCTTCTCCAAGTAACTTCATTACCATTGAGTTACGATATTTTTGAAATAGTTTTGAAAGCTTTTTTTCGTAATGCTATAGCACACTTTATGTTAATCTTGAATCCTTGCTGTTTCGTGACTAAGCCTCCACAGCAAATCTGGATTTCAAAGAACGTTAAAGACAGTTTTTAGAGTCTTCATCTTTCTATTTATCGATGATTGACTTTTTTTCAGGAGCGGGATCGAATAGAGAGTCTTCCTTTAAATTCGCTTGGCGGAGCTCAGGGCCGAGTCGCAGGCCTGCGTTATAATAGATCGCCGTCAGTCGAGGATTTAACTTCACGGCCTACTTTCGATAAGGCGCTGTCTGATCTTCGTTATAGGGAAAACTCAAGAAATGCAAAGGACTCATCAACAACGAGGGCAACATTGACAAATAATCAGAACCAGGGTGGTACCACTGATTCGCCGGTTAGTATTAAATACTATGTTATTTCTATTCGTTTTCTAGAAAGATCCTTAATTTTGATTCTGGAAAATATATGCCACTCCTAAGAGTTAGTGAGTGCTACTGTTTTTTTTGTGCTCACTCATCATATAGTAAGTAGGAGGTTATTTCTAAGAACTAACAGTTACTACTTTTACATCCTGCTCTTCATTTACTTCGGTTAATGTACAATAATTATTGATTTTATCTGTGCGTTTAAAGATCTTTTAACTGAATCGGTGATTCATTCTATAATTCCCCTTTAGTATTAGGAAATAGCTAGTGACGTTAACCGCGGCTAGATGACAGGCACGACCGTAATCGATCGGCTGTGACAAGCGTTTAATGTATTCTACGTACCATTAACAAAAATAAGTTCGCCTAGTTACAACAGCTAATGGTTTGTTACTATATTGATTCGAACCCACGATCATGTTAAATCATCATGTAAAATGTTGAGACTAGCGAATTAGAAGACAATGGAAAAAAGTGATAGTTAAGCCATGTAATGCTGGCGTGTAAATGTTTCTAAGCAAACAAAAAGTCCCTGCTAGACTCATTTGTTTAAACTTCGCAAATTTGCAAATAATGATACGCATTTATGCAGGAATAATTTAGCAACAATAACAACAACAAGCTAATAGTATGTCATACGCGAGGAAATGCGCGAGGTTTTGTCTTTTTTTTTTTTATTTCGCGCATATATCAGACTTAGGAGACCTTTGTCTTGTGGTTAACGGGGATTTTTAAACCCATGTTAATTACAAGTTGAAACTAACACGTGTATTTTTCTGCAAGTTGTCGATATTTTGGCGGTCCTTAAATTGGTAAGCCGTATTCAACAAAACTATGGTTACTTTAATCCGCACACACATCCGAACAAACTGGCGACCATTTCCCTCTACCTCGAATGCGAATGGCGCTTTTTTTCAAATGTAATCTGAAGAATCCACAGTCTTATGGCAAGAGTAAAGTTGAAAGACTCTATTTGAAACCTAATATGCCATGCCTTCCATCGACGAACGATACGAGTCTGTTCATATTGCCAAGTCACTCGATCGTTAACAAATCACGCTCGCATTGCAACTGATTATACATAGTCATTGATTAATCGTTGAGAATGTCATTTTCGTGCCCCTTTTACCACCTACCCCCTTCTCTAGCTGTAGCTATTTATCATTGCGCAAGGGATATATATACCTACGCATGTACACGAGCATCCCAGACAATATGAAGTTGACTCTACATACTACGATAAGCTAACCTCCACGATCGATTCTCACGATTCACCCTTCCACTTTTCATCTTCTTTCTCTGATAAAGAAAAAAAGGCTTTCAGTGCCTTGCAAATACGCTTCACTAGGCGTATTCGCGCACAATGGCAGTCGCGTCGCCAACAGCACTTTTTACAAGCAACTTTTTAGCTATTTCACCAGACTGGCGTTCCGTTTTTGCGGACTTCACCTACATCGTGCATCAGTGTCTTGCGACGCGATAAATTGCACACTGTCTCACAAAAAAATGGTAGTGCCTAACCACGTGAACGAAGTACACGGGCGGACGAATTGCGTTTCGTATGGCGCTACTGCATCTGCTAACACGGACTGAACAGAGTCGAAATTTTGAAAACGTAATCTTTGAACAATATGGCGCGATGGGTCAGGAGAAACGTCGCGAGAAATATCACGCACAATGCGACTTATGGTATTTGCATTTTTTTTAGCGTTGCTCATATTAGGATTAGGTTAAAGTATACCCAGGTCTAAGAAAGAGTGTGGCTTCATCGTGCTGCATAGCAGTATCTCAGGAGACTAACTCAGGAAACATGCATAGTTCTCTTTATTACTATTATGCTTGTTTCTAGAAACAGAGACCGCTTGTTCTAGATGCACCAATGTCCTTTGATAACAGGCTGTATTTCCAGAGCTTCGTCAATTAATACCTTTGACTTAGGAAATTTTAGGAGGCTTGCTGTAAAAATGCATTACTGGCATTTAGCCCATATAACAGCAGCACCATCCTCCATACATGGGCCCTTTTTCTGCTGGCTAAGTGTGGAACTAAGGTTTCGAAAACGTGGAAAAATTACCTCACTCTGTATTATACGCATGCTCCATTGGTACAAGGACGTGTAGTTTTCGAGCCCACCTTATTCCTTCAAAGTTTTCAAGCTTCATAGCTTCAAGCTGAAGTATTCCAGTACGAACGTCTCTCCCGGTATTTGCACCTGCGATGTTTTTGTCTTTCCGCTAAAAAGACGACAAACGATCACCGACGATCCACTTGATCCGTAATGGAAAGGTCGACCTCAGCGCACGATATTCAAGCACAACACCTGGCTGATTAGAATTTTTATTCTCAGGCGTCAAACGATATACGGACGTGTAGGGTTGCCCTTGGATTATACCTTAATTAGCATACCCCGTTCTCTCGTTAAAGTATACATAAAGAAGCTTGCCTTCAAGTATTGTCCCTTCCGTCCTGTTCCTATCCCTATTTTTATTGGTTACTTTATTGTTACTTATTTGGCGTTAGAATTGATTTAAAGCAATCCGTCTGCATAGGTAGCATTCGCGTGTGACTATTCTATATATGTATCTATGCAACGCATTGCGTATCGCACGGTCTTTAAGCGAGAATGAATTTCATCAGTGTACTTTGAGCTTCCCGATACGACAGTCGATCTTCAAGGTATACGAACACGAATGAAACCTGTGGCATCAACTCAATGTGCGAAGAGCTTTCCTTATTTCAGATCAATGCTCATATGAGGTGGATCTCTTCCATACATTTAAACAGTATCTAATTTTCCCTTTAAAATCAGACGTTTCAGTGCTCACTAATTCAATTACAATAAATTTCCTCACTGTCCTATGTAGAAAGAACAAACATTCTTGATTACATTAACGCAAAAAAAAAACGCTTTCTTATGCAGTTTCTAACAAACTCGTTTAAAGACGTTTCTAACCATTTTGCTTGATCATCTAGTTGTTTACTCCGTAAGTCCGCACCTTTTTTAAAATGAGGGATTTGATCCATTTTTTTTCTATTTTTAGTGGTATTGTTTTGTTTTGTTCTTTTTTTTTGCAAATTTCATGTTGCTCCTCTCATCTCAGAGCTAATTCTCCCTCCCAACGACTTCAATAGTGTTTTGTTGTCGATGCCAATCGGGTAGTTGGGCGAGTCCTCTAAAGCTTCAGTGTTTCCCTTTACAGCAGAACACAAGTAAGAAATTTTGACCCTTTCCGTGTGGTGGTGTCAAGGGGCCGGACGTTTCGTCTGCATCTATCAACAGCACCTATCTCAGCCAGAATAAGATCAACGTCAACAATTTAGTGAGCAGCATCAGCAAGATCACTCGAACCTCCACAGCGAGTTCCAACTTCAGCACTACCTCAACCATCACTACAGATTCAGGGCTGTACAGCTCGCTGCCGTTGCTACTGTTTGTAAGTAGAGTAGATTTTGACGACAAGGAACAATTAGGCCACAAACAAGACAAGCAGGCCTCACGTCGTACGTGCTGCTTACGACCTGTGTGTTTATACACGGCGCACAAAGTGACATCGTATAAGATCGCATCGACTCTAGCAGCGGGATGTGCTGCAGGTCTCAAGCATGGCTTGACAAAGGAGGTGAAACCTCGCGTACGAAACACATTGTGCTTATCTCTTGCATCGCCGCCCAAGACTGCGCTGTGAAAATGTTGGGATGCATCGGGCCCCTGTCCGTGCGCTTAAAGCATGCTATTTGGAAATAAGGAGGAAAGCAAGCTTCAGGCTTTCCTTAGCACATTTTAGGCATGCTTAGTTCGGGTAGTCCGTCGAGTGCGCAGTAACAGCAGATTTCTGCGCAGGAAAATTGGAAGAAGGTAAAGCTCCTTAACTATGTATGTGAAAGACGACCTATGGCAGCTAAGCTTGGCTGCCGGACCGATCTAGCGAAACGGGCTGAGCAGTTCATCAGGTCTGGGTTACGCCTACTAAGACCCTTCACTGCTAGCCACAAATCGTCACACCTGTACGACACTAAATGTACGGGTTTTACGCGACGTCGAAACAAATTCTCCATCTGGGAGTTGAACGTCTTCTATTCTGCTGCTTACAACACGCTGGTGGGGCACCGTTGCTTGGCAAGCACCATCGTGCACGAGAAAACACGCTCTAAATCTTTCCAAGATACCTTAATCTCAGCCGCTAGCAGAATCATTTTCAAAGTTACGCTAAAGAACCGATCCTACACACACACATAACCACTGCACTTTATCGCGTTCACTTGATACACCGGCTTAGCTACCATTCGTCGTTTCCATGGGTCCCTAAGTCCCACGGGAGGAGGTCGCCGACGCGTTTCTGCCAGAACTCTATCAATGCATCTTTTTTTTTCTAGTCTTTTTTCCATTCTTTAAATGTATTCTATTTGTATAAATTAACATACGTGTCAATGTGCGTACGGCCGATGTATCGTTACTAAGTGAATTTTTTTAAGGTGAACCGATGGCGACTGAAAAATTAAACTGTCGCCGGAGTTCCTTTAGGTACAAGAACCTGGAGCTGGAAAACTGCTGCAGATCTATCCTGTGTACGTGTAAACATCCTTAGGTAGATGCTTGAATCATTTGACGAGTCTTTCGCTTGCCCATGCGTTCATCCACGAGGTAAAGCTCCGACGGATGAGAACTCAATTTGATATCGAGAACGACTTGGCGGATGGTTGCATTTTGGTGGGCGCCTTCGTGCGGCAGCTTGAAATCGAAAAGAAATTATTGTTATAGTGTTCTGCAAATGGTTAGCTATATATATATATATATATATATATATATATATATATATATATATGTTACAGTATAAGGTGCTCTGTGATTGTAGTCAGTACAGACGTTGGACAATGACAATATTTTTTACTTTGTGATATGGTCGTGTATGAACGAACAAGCTTTTCCGGGAGTGCGTGTTGTGGAAATCAGTTAAATCGAAAATAGATTAACGGGGTTAATGAAATAATTAATAAATGAACATTTCAGCCTGCCTACCTATTTTTTAATTTATATTTGCTTGTTTTCATTTCGAATTGTTGATAGTTCGTTTAATCTAATTTCAGTTGTGTCGGGCTAGATATCTACAATATGTTATATTACGTTATGTCGTGCTTTGTTTCAGCCTATGTCAAGGTAATGGTTAGGTGACGATCGTGTCCGCCAGATGTGCTTAGTTAGTCGTGTTTAATTTTTACGGACATCATATGAACCACACGTATGTCTCAACCCCTGCCTAAAATTATGGCGACGGTATTTGTTCACCGAATCATCAGTCAACACATGCGCTTCACCTTGTAATACATAGTACATCCAGCGTGCGTTTATTTTCTTCTATAACAGAAACTAACCTTTCAAAATTTCTTTATCTTCCTCTCAAAAATGGCCCGAACCGTTTTTACCATATAAATCATCCGCTTAATAGAGCGACACTCCACCTGTAGATCGATGTAAACTCTAGCATTTATTATCATATGTTCAAAAGCATTACCGTAATAGGTTATGGCGCCTGCTTGGTAACATATTCAAAAAGGTCATTTCGCCCAAAATGGATAGCAAACACTCAACAATACACACATGGATACCCAGCGGCAGAACTGTTTCTGCTCGGTCGGCGTTCATGCACGCGGTCAAACCAGCTTTTCATACCTGACCACAGCAATCGTTGACGGGCCTACTGCGTAAAAGAGAGGGTAGCGGTTGGCCTAATACTAAAAATTTGTAAATTCTCTCCGCTAGCAATGATAATGACGGGAAGGCTCTTTTTCTTGTACTGGTTTCAAAGAAGAATCAAGTATAATTTCAGGAATATTCACTTGGCCCTCTCTAGCGGATTCTCTGCGTTTCCTTGTCGGATCGTGGAGAACGGCACGTCCTCTTTGCATTTTGAAGATGCCCTTGCAAAAAAAATTGGTCTTAACGTACGATAGCATCACTTCTCAACCTGGTGATATGCGCAGCAAGTGCAATATCCTTTTTTAAGCAATATTATGTCGATCGATCCAATATATATACACACATTTCCATCAGTCGTTTGTCTCATAACTATTCCGAAGATTCTTTTTGTAAAGACGTAAGAACTTGTTGCAAATTTCCTCTCTCTCGTACACGGCTTTGCGGTCGCAGAGTAATCCGACCCGTAAACCGGCCAGCGTGAAAACCGTGCTCCAAATGCGACGTATCGTCGTCCGACTGAGCTCCGTGCTTTCTGACAGCGCTTTGTGCCTATGACTTTTAACAATCAGCAATGCTTGCTGATGAATTATTAGATTTTCGGAACTTCTTCTTCTTAAAAAAGAATTTAAGTAATCGTAGCGAATATACGAGTAACATATTACGCCGCCTACTCTCTCCTGGTATTCCGCTCAACTCTATCGTTTTCAGACCGCCAAAAATGGGGACATCCCTCGTGGGAGAGGTATTTATAGTAGCTCGCTCTCACTGACCAAATGGGTAGATTACTTTTTGAATTAAACCGGGTCGTAGAACGCGTTGATCGGAGATGTTCGTTGCATAACTTTTGTGTGGCTATGGTATAATTCAACTGACTGGACTGTGTAAGCTGAAGAGTTATTCAAAGGTATCGATATCAATATGGAGAAGTGCTACTATCATCATTTTTTGACATAGGGTAAATAAAATTACTCGAGAATATACACATCTGCATAAAATATTCCACCTTCCTAATACACCAATCACAGTGGAAAAAAAAATTCCCGGAGAATAAATTTGTGTACGACTGAATTGATTGAACTCCGCTTAGTAACTATACGTATGTAGCCATTTTGTCATTGCAACATACAAACTACGTCTAAAAACGAGCGGTAGTATCGAGGGGTGGTAGTATTATGAAAATATCATTTACAGTAGCAACAAACGATCTACTACCCGTCGCGCTAACGTTACCTTGAGTGTAGTTTTCTTAAATAATGTATTCAAGTATATTTCTGAAAAAAATTCGATCAGTTTTAAATACGAGCTCTTGATCCTTTAGCTTCTTAGACGTTTCTTCTGCTGCTTTTTATTTTATCCGAAGCTTATGTGCACCGACGATGAGCACCTTAATCCACCTACATGTAGCATCACAATGCTCGGGCTCAGATCGAATCGCGCTTCTAGCTGATTGACTTTTATAGCACTCGATAAGATGATTACTTTCATTTTTTTTATCGCTCAAATCGCAAATATCCATCAGGAACAGACAATGTATATGGTTTGTTTCCGATTTCTTCGTCGGACGGATGTAGTAATCACTAACGTTCTATTTCCTGACAGTCAGGGGGAGATCCGTCACGACTGCCTTTTCTAGCACTACCTAACGCTTGCAAAAACACATCTGCACCAACTGACGCCAGCTGTAATCAGCCGTCGTGGACTGACATTAAGGGTACTTGCGGTCATTTTTAGCGAACCCTCTCACTTTGCTGAAGGATTAGGTAATCTATAAAAAGTATGGGTTTACTAACTGATTGAATTAACTATTTGCCAGGTATAGATGTCTTTTTTTTGAAGCCAACTACTCTGAGCATTTTACAACCTTTTATATAATTAGCTAAAGCATGCCTTAACTAGATTTGAATTAAGATTGGTGTACAAGACAAACGTCCGAATGGGCTCTAATTAACCGTAAAGTTTAATAGGATACTCCTGGTAAGACTGAGGTACCGAGTGGGCATTAGCGTAGATTACTGGTAATATTTCATAGAAGAACATCATCAGGTAGGAGTAATTATAAGCAATGTTTCTGCCGAAACACGGTTACGTTTATAAAAACAAGCCTGTAGATGTATTGCGATGTTACAGTGAAAACGGTCTTTTATGAGGTTCAAGTGATCTATTCGACCTCGAGCTTGAGGCTGCAGCCGTTTGCGGACTACTTATAAGTTCCACATCGAATTCATGGTTCTGCAGGTTTAGCATGCCTTGTGAGAATTTTTGCACAACGATCAATTTGGTTGTTTTTCTGAAAACGGCTTATGTTAAACCATTAGCAAAAATCAGTTGACTGAGACGCCCTGTACGACTGTTGATAACTTTGGAGTATTCATTCGGCTAAACAGAACGCAATCCACATGTAAAATGTGTACCATGCTACACGCAAATAGCTACAATGTAGGTATCTATTTATAAAAATAATCATTGTTTTTACAATAATCGTCACCCTATGTTTTAAGTTTATAAAAAACTGGTCTCATCACAATCCAGATTGTTTCTGCGATACGTGTCATATGACTAACCCACTATACACACTGATCATGATACTAAACGGCCGACCTTTTCGTAATTTAAGAAACTGCTTACTTTTATGAATAATATTAAACCTCACTTAATGACGATGTGGAAACTCTCTTAGATCTGTATTGGCTTGGGTTTCTCAATGCGGTCAGGACTGGCCCACTTGATTGAATAAAAACCGCGTTTCTTTTGCCAAATAACAAACAGTCAATTTGCTTTCGTGTGCTGGGTTTTCTGTGTCGTTTATGTATGTTTGTGTATCTGTTTGCGTGTATGTGTGTGCGTATATATTGATTCGATTGTTGAATGTTATCTGCTCAACAACGCACCTTATTCTGCGATACGCTGTCATCCATTGCTGATCCGTGTCACCCTGGTCTGATGCCTTTGACATCCGCTTTATGCGATCTTCGATCCTGCCATAACGCACCACATAACAACAAAACACCCGATTTTCACTCATCCTTTTTTCAATCTGCATTCCGTTATGGTTTCGTCGCATAACAACACGATACCATCCGATGATGACCCCACTTCTATCTGGTGCCATTATTGATCTTTACTGCAAACAACAACATCAACAACTGCAATAACTATACGGCGTTTCCTGCGACAATACCTGGTACGGCATCATTTGCTACTGCTATTGTTGCCATCATCTGCGTACAGGAGAGCGCATCAAACGTCCGTTGGGATCGATGCAGTGTGGAGAGCGGCAGCAGCTACCGAACCGCCCCTGGCAGTATCCATCTGGTTCAGGCGATTTTGCCATCAACCCAGGCGGCTCTGCCGCCGTCGTCTGGGGGCGATAGCGACCAGCCCGGCTCGCGTTCCACACTGACGCAATCCTTGCGACCTCGTGAAGCTCAACATCAGGAAGGCAGCCGAAGGCGGCTCTCCGATGAGAACGAAAACGATGGCGATGATGATGATGACGATGACGATGATGATAGTATCGGCCTCGATCTGAAAGTGCCATCTGGTGACGTCGCGATGGGGGGCATTGGTGGAAGGAGCGGTGCCGATAGGGCTGACAGCGTAATGTCCACTGCGATAGCCTATCATGACCCGCTATCGCCGACTATATGCAGACCACCGAAGTTCCTTAAAGGTTAGTGCATAGATGTCGATGTTTGGTGTTTGGGTTACGTACACTGATCAGGCGCAGGCAAAATAAACGTTGTTGGATCCGAAAAATTTCGAAATTCATTCACGTCGTAATTAGATACAAGAAACATAACAGAATCGTTAGAGTGGCTAAACTTGGCGGACATAGTCTAGGAATTTAATGTAATAAGATGGAAAGGATATATTTTGGTAAAAACATGCAATGTGAAAAATGGGCTTTTATTTTAAAAACTCAAAGAAATTATAAAATTACTTAGAGGATAATGTGTTCTTATGATAGTTTAAATCGAGTCAAACGGCCGCGTCCGAGCCGTACCTATCCGCCCTGAACTATTACAGAAGGCTAAGAGAAGTTAAGACAAAGAAGACTACTAAATGCATAAATGTTTCGCGCCTTTGCGTCAGTTCCTCTAGACCCTTTCAAAAAACAAAACCGTGTATTTTACGCTCGGTTTCTAACCTAAACCACCTCACGTAATGTTTATAAGTTTACTAGGCACCACTACGTCATCACACCATCACTGCCAGTAGATTCATAAAACAAGGATATATAATATATTGTTTTTTTTCGATAGGTAACACGGCCGCCCTTTTTAATGAAAAGTCGCTAAGCTGCTCATCGTATAAAGCACTCGTAAGAACAAGGGGTGTGATATAGAGTAGACTGTCCCCATTGACAGTTTGATTCATCAGTTCCGAAAATCGATGCGTCCAGTGGAACCTATTTGAATGGATTCTACCCCTTATTATTACACATATCTTTGTAAGGCAATCCGTTTACGTCTTCCGTGATGGTTGTACAAAATAGGAAAGGAAAGGAAAAGAAAGGTTGTACAAAATACAACGAAATTAAACTCAATATGGAATACGAAAATAATAATACAGAAGAAAATCATTCCACCTGAATGCAAACGATGCTTTTAATTAGCCCCGCCAGCCCTATAATGCCAGCCATATAACAATTAGTAGGACAATTTGTTATAAAGTTATAATACTAAGCAGAAACATCGACAGCCCATTTCACCTAAACTTAAAAACGCATAAACAGGCGAACTCAGATGGTTTATTTGAATCGTACGAAGAAAAATCATTGAAATAGAATCTTACATCAGCCAGTCGGATCTTCTCCGTATCACGATAAATTAGTGGAGCCTCCACAAGAGAAAATCGTAAAGCCGAAAGACTCTAGCCCGAGCGAGTGCGAGCTCTTGCTGAAATAACCGTAAAATATCTAGTGATAGCTGTCGTAGCGGCTTTTTTTTCGCTGATTTGAATTTCCGTATTTTGGCGTTTTTCGAGAAACAGGTGTGCGGACGAAAGCGCGCTTTGATGTCCTGGATGCCTCCCGGGCACTTCAGACAGGATCGGCTGATTCGCTTCTGCCTCCACACATGATCGGTTCGCCAGCGCATCATGCCAATTCTGCAAATAGGAAACGAAATGTTTCTAAATCAAAGTTTGCCAAATGTGAGTACCGTTTAAAGTGATCACTATACTTATTTCTTGTCTTAGATGCTTTGAAGGCAGCTAATTATTTTCCTTCCTTCAAGATTCCGTTTCATTTACGACAAACAATTTTCTATTAATAATTCGAAAAATTAAGCAGTTGCGTTCGAACAAAATGAGCTCCATGTCAACCTGCATATTGGACTGGTAAGGACGCTATATCGCTACATGAACATTCATTGGGGTAACCTATATAGAACAACTTGCCATTGTCCCAATGGACGATTAGGACAAATATGCCGGGCGCCCGTGGTCTGTCTTCGTGTCCCACATATGCTATTATAATAGACTATACGCGCACTATTTATCTAACGATATGGCAACTTGCGAATGGCGAACCACGACATACATTGCCTAGTGTAAAGGCAAGCTAGTACCATGGCCTGTTAAAAGAGTTACTGTTTTCAGATTCGAATACATTTCTAAATGAGCTTCAGATTGCACAGCAAACGCACTCACAATAGGGCATCTGGATATGACGCACCAGAAGACCAACGTTACAAGAGTTCATCAAACATTTCCATGCTGGGAAGGCCAACAATATACATGAAGTGTGCTCAGGACACAAAAGTCGGCTAAAGGCTTGCTCTCAAATGGCCAACAGAATACAGAAGGAGAGAAAGAAAGCAAAGCTGGTTCAATGAATAACCCTTAACGGGCTCAAGTAAAAAAATGACTTCAGTCCTCTTTAGTTTAATTTCGAATGTATGAAGATAAACTTAAAAGAATAATTTACTGAAAAATTAACCTCGGTTCTTTTCTAAGCTTAATTTACTAACCAATGTCCTGCTTTGCCTTGACGTTTCTCAAACGATGACCGCATGTATAAACTTGCAGCGTCTAAATTGAGAAATTTCCTTGTATTTCTAAAACAGTATCTAGAGAAAACAGATATTTTGACGAAGTACTTCCATATGCTAAGAATGTCATTCCCGACGGTCACGTGTATTCAACATAAACAGTACCCACCATCATTACAGCCATAATTCTGATCCACAACGGCTCACCACTCATTTTTGAAATATTCGTTCTTAAATACTTAAGTGACTTCTTAATCGTACCCGTGCGTCAAGCGCTATTAATAAGTGTAAATTAGTTCCAGGTAGTAAATTAGTAGTTGTTTAAATATGCCACATACAAAAGATTCTAGCGGAATTACGTTTTAGAGGGATAACAGGCCAAAAGTGCAGGAGCTTAAAATGACCAAAAAATCTAAAGGCTGCGAAATTAAGCGAAAAGCCTTAAAAAGTAACCATTGGAGCTTATGTAGAGAATCACACTGGCAATTGATATTCTCTTCGAAACGCTATCAAAGACAAGAGTCATCTTGTTGATAAGTGTTTAAACGTAATCCCTATTGACGATACTTCGGTTTCCCTCACCTTTTTCGGATTTTGAAAAACCGTGTGACTATATAGGAAGTTTTTCTTCTATGTCCGCCTAGTGCGTACAGACCTGGTAATAACTGATTCTTATTAAAACAACGCGCTATCTTCTGATTTAACGAGTTTGCCCATTTTATTTTCCAAGAACAATGGAGGCTCACATGTCCGCTACTGCAAAAAGCCTGTTAGGGCCTTCTCCAATTTGCCAAATTTTTACAATAGGTATTTCACTGAAGTAAGCTATGTACTGCGGACAAATAAGGCCAACACATATTAATAAGTATCTAAGAAAACCTGTTAAAGATTCATCGTTTTTCTGCTAAAGGCGAGATCTTTTTTGTTCCATGTTTATTCAATATTCGCTTGCAGTGGTGAATATATTTACTCCGCATCAGCACAAATCTCCAAAGACTAGCCGTGGAGAATATCTTGATCTGGGTCAGCCAAGTCCACCGCTAACCTGCGCCAAGAAGTCAATCCTTAAGACGCCTCAGCAAGTCGGAAGCGCTCAGGCAACCGGCGGTGGTGGCGGAAGTCACACACTGAGGAATTCTGCCGTAACCAATTTACGCCACGAGGTGAATGTTAAGGTTTGTCAAAGGATATCTTCGTAGCCCATTGGCCCATTCTGATGGCAAGTTCTAAACGTTACTAAATCAGTATTATTATATGAAATTATCAGGAACTGATACAACAGCGACACGCGTGTTTCTCGACAGTATAACAAACTAAAGCAGTTCCTTTACTTTGTAAAATCAATCATGCGCATGCATTGTATGTTTTGCATACATTCCTCAATGTTCCAATAATTGTGCGTAATAATAAATAGCAATGGCAAAATCTACACACATCTTACCAACGATTATCATATCTTTCGAAATTCAAAAAACCCGCCATCAGTTTATGTCACTGCCATATGTTTCAGCTACTTACGTGCGAACAGTTATGGCTCTACCATCATTTACAGAATAATGCTATTTACCTGATAACACGAACATGCCATTTGCGTCGGCTGGACGACTTGGACGGCTGAAGCTCTGGTTAAAAAAGACCAGCGGACGTCGCTGGTTCAAGCTTCTCCAATATCGTATACTACACGCTAATTATGATTTCATAAAGGAACATACATATCCTTTCCACGAGACGGGCTTGGATTGATTTATCCTTTTATTGTTTTATAAGTAATAGGGCTTACATACGTTATCCTTTCTGAAAAATAACGACATAGCGATTTAATTTGATTACCGATTCTGCTTATTGTTAGACGTTCCCAATTACCAAACACTGCCACTTCGTACTGACGTCCTCAAACACTGTAGACCATATCTTATGGCCAGGTTTTCGTACCTCCTCCGGATATTTATATAAATACATCTTCTATTCAGATGCGTGTAGCATCTAATTTAGGATCGATGAGCATTTACTTCCTCTACGTATCAATGTCACAGTGGCTTGTGTTAGGACATAGTCGCATATCGCATACACAGTCACATATAACAGACACAATTACAACTACTCGTACGTTGGTACACCCTTAGGGCCCTATATTGGTACGGCTATGGTATGAAAAAAAGAAGTACAAATATCATGCTTGTGTGTTGTTTCCACGCATATTCGACAATTCGAACGCGGGCCTACCTTGCTTCTGTTTTCCCGCATCTAATCATGTTATTGTTCGTTACGTTACGCTAGCCTTCGTACGTGGCTGATTCTCCTCATTATTCTGCTGTTTTGCGTGAATCTCTCTTTAATACAGGCGGGTTGTGACACTACGACAGAGGACGAATCAGAAGAATGTGAGGAGCGCCAACGCCTCATAGGGGGTGCCACGGATGTTGATACGAGCGAAGCAGAGATTTCGCACTCATCATCAGCCCCACTACCCACCACGGCAACAACAACTACGTCAGCGGCGGAAACAACAACAACAACAACAACACCACCACCACCACCACCACCACCACCACCACCACCACCAACAACAACAACAACAACAACAACAACAACAACAACAACAACAAGTGGTTCACAGGAGCCTACAACTGTTCAACACGCGCGTGATATGCAAACAGGCAGATTGGCTGAAACCTCCCTGATTCAGGGAAACGTGAACACAGCGCAAAGTGTGTCGTCGTCACATAACCGACCGTCCATGCAACAGGTACGCGCAAACAAATGAGAAATATAAAACAAATTTAATTAGTCATCTTTCTTCTAAATTGAGGCAAGACATACAAAATGAAAGAGTTCGTCGCATAGAGCAAATAAGAACTACTATCGTATACGAAGAGGCGCTCGTGTATTCAAGATGTATTTGTACGTACACACACAAGGTACTGTTCGTAACATGTACAATGCTTGAATAGTTGCTAGGAAGGTAATTCAGTGCTTTGTTGTTTCGAGCTAATCCACAGCTGTCCTAGTATATTGACAGGTACTGGGGTGATCTTCGTGTTTTGCTTCAATGGAGGAATCTTGGGATAGACTTGTTCGCTTAACATGCTTTCGTACCCTATCCCAATTTCCTTTCTATGCATCCTTTATCATCATCAATCAGCTCTAAGATTTGAACTAAAGGCGATCGATACGCATGTTGTTCATGGTCATCATGACAACGCAATAGGAAAGCTACGCGTTAGCCGCTCAAGTCGCGCCACTGATTATTTTGGGCTTCATTCTGTGATGGAGTATACAATGTTTAGCCTCTTCTGGCTGAACACATATCCGGCTCCATATAATTGACTGCCACCGCTACCAACATTGGCTAGACCAGCATCCGTAGTGAAGAGGCTGCGTGCCCATGACCGCATCACAGACAGTAAGCCGATGAAGAGTTGTACGGGTGACAAAGATAAGGAAAATGAAAAGCTAGACATTTCGAAAAAGGCCACTCGCTAACGATGTAATGCATTCCGTAATAGCTTCAACCCAGCAAGACTAACTAAAAAGTTTCTTTCCAATTGAAAGTTGCCCTTATACTTGTGTTACCGATCACTGAAAGGGGATCAGACAGCATAACCTTGACAAGTAAACATACCGGTTGAACGCCCAAAGGCAACCTTTGTTCGACGATACGTTGGTCTTGTTTTTCATCTTCAATGACTCCATTCAAAATTTTCAACGTCCTACCTAATTATGGTATGGCCCGCGAATGTCGTGCAATGCTTGTCGTACAATTTTACGCCAATCTGCAATTCGGCTGACTGACCAAGGGTGCACGCCGTAGGTCATGAAGGGCCTTTTTATGTTAATAATTCGTGTTTTGTTTATAGATTCCTTTCGCTTCGAGATATAATTGAGCGCAGTCAGTGATTTCAAATTACTACTAATTCACTTTGTTGATTCTCTTCCGAAGTACATGAAGTTACGACCAGGAGCAAAGCATAATGAAATTTAATTCATTGTTATTGTTGAAAATGATACTCTTTTAAAATGCCGTATTTAAGCATCATCGAAATACGATGTGTGTGGTATAGCCTATCTTGTCAACTGAGCATTCTAACACGTCAGGTATTCAGTCAGCGAGCTTCGATTGTAACTAAAACTACTACGGTAAATTCTGTTATGTGTTTTATTCGATGTCCTCCATTAAGTTGACACGAACTTTTCTGCTTCACATACCTTACCTAAAGCCAGAAATCATAATGTGATATATTAACACGGAGTTATACCTAACAGCCGTATAAGCAGACCGAGATGAGGTAACGGCAAGACCACCTGTGACAACTCTATTGAACAGTTTAAATCAGGAAATTCCTCCTTTTGTTATTATGTTAATGCTTTTATTGTTGTCTTTGTTTCTAGAGTGAAGAATAGTATTTCGAATTGTGAGGAAAAGAGAGGAAGACTTCAACAGCGCCTTAGAGTATAATCATATGCGTCGCTGACTTAACGGAGTCTTCCAGCGAAGACGCCTGAAATTCCGGCGACGTTATCGGAGCGACGCGGTTTTTAGTAGAACTCGAGCTTGAAAATGGATTTAAAAAAGTGGTAGAAATGTAAACAATTACTATAAGATAGAGAAGATTTTACTCTGGCACGTAACGGGCTGGCAAAAGACGCAGCCAAAATCGATCGTGGCCCTAAAATGGCAAAAGGATAATAGCTCCTTCGAAAAACCAGGAAGGGCTACGATATCCCCGCTGTACGAGAGATGGCGAATACCCAATTAATTGCCGAAAGACAACCAGGCACAATTACTGGTCAGCAGGAATAAATAAATGTGAAGAGAATCATCGGCTCGATGTTATGTTTTACTCTTACCGCAATCTGCCAATCAATCGATGAATGACTACTACAGAATCGAATAAGGGCAGACCCTATTTTGGAAGGTTGAAGTGCACCATCTGCAATAATTCAACTACAAGAACAAGCTATTCACAATCTACTAAAACGAATTCCTGGCCGGGTGGGTATTAGGCATCAGATCAAACTGCACATAGTAAACAGCACTGCAAAGTAGAAAAACGTTGAAAGACGGATTATGCATTGGAAGCTGTATAATGAATCACCACTCACACCTCTAACGCATGCTGAGGCCAAAGATATTGAATGAATCCCGCCTGCGATTAACGGATAATTTTCTTGCGACTAGTCTCTATAAAACGGATTGAGCTAA